TCCGTTTTATCTTGGAATTCCTTAAACGAATCTCTTCGTAAATTAGATTCTTTTTCTTTGTTTAAAAGTAAAATKCATCGCTTATTTTACCCCCACGAGTATAACAAAATTTATAGCATGTCTCTTACTTATTACGCCTCAGTGTTGCATACAAGGTTGCGTTTAGGTTATTGTGCATTTTCTTCTTTCTTGTCCCCGGTACCCTGCTCAATGCGATATCTTACTTACCTCTGCTGCACAACTTATTAATAACTGGTCTACCTTGTCTGTTAAGGAAAAAAATTGCTCTTGTTGCATAGATCTATGGAACTATCTATTTCTGATAACCAAACTTTATTTTTTGCCGTGCAACGATATTTATTAGATTCTGGTCGCTTTTCTCACTGAATAATATATAATATTGATAATTGTTTTTTTTCCCCTAAATGCATTGTTACTATATAGGTTTTATTTTATTTTATTTTTTTTCCCTTATTTCTTTTGTCCTAGCACTTCAAGATATTATTTATTACAGTAAAAAGATATATAGACCCCCTCGATGAGTTCTTGCTCTTGGGGTTAATATGTGTTAAAATATGTTAAAATATTTAAATAAATAAATAAATTAAGAATAGTAACCGTTTCAGAGAAAGAAAAAAATCACCATTAGCATAGTGAGGTAAACATGCAAAGACTCTTAAGCACCCTAGTGCGTATGAGAATTCGAACTGATAATTTCAACCCTTAACAATTCAAATAAACGTGTTGTTCACACCTTGAAACTGCTTCCATTATTGTATATGGTTGTCTGTGCGAACCTCCATTTTGGACCAGCGTCCCCTGATCTACTCCACACCTTAATTCTCGTTTGGTTTGTCATGATGTATACATTCAGGTAACCCACGTGACGTCCCCACATGTGGTACCAGAATTGTAGGCACGTGACATTAGCGTACTCTAGCCAATCACTGTAAAGTTGTGCTGCATCATCACGAACTAATCCTGAAACTTCGAGGTAAAGGTAACTACCTGAAATAGAAATTAGAACGGATGTTTATCTGATTACAATGAATGTAGCTCATTTGTGATACTTGATGGGAATGGATGAAAGGGTGGCGTAGCGGTAGTACATGTCTAATGTCTGGGGTCGACGCATCGAATTCATTTTCGGGACTCCCATTACATTTATTTTTTAAAATAGAGTTTGCCATTTGGTCTCTCCATTGATATTTCCTCCATCTGCTGCAGAGAAACCTATCAGCTAGATTAAAATTCAATCTGTGAGTTATCAGTGCCTTGACTCCGGTCTGCCCAGAGGTTATTTCAGGGGTTTGATAATTCCTATTTGAAGGTTTTTGATGCAGTATGCAATCTTTGTAGCCATGTTGGGACATGAAATCAATGCAAAAGAAATAATGTAATCGGCTTACCATTTGCAGCTGGTCTTGAATGATCAATTAAAGGGCCAGTTTCTGAAGTTGGGGTTTGGCCTTTCATTATTTGCCATTTTGCTTTGCTCGATCGATTTGTGTCGCTTGTTGTAAGTCCACAGAATCCATACTCAAAATTACAGGGCCCTATTAAAAAACATCCAACAATAAAGAAGGAAATCTTACAATGTTAAGATTATTAATTCAATTGACAGTAGCAGCGAGAGTCCAGGAAGTGGAGAGGTGAGAGAGCACGCGCATCGTTCGTTTGCAAGATGGACATGTAGTGGGCGGTCAACTCAGTTACATTTGTTTTACCTCTAAATGTTCGGCACTCCTTTCTTGGAATAGAGTGATCTGTTGTGGTTGCACAATTAACTTTGTTTAACGGACATCTAAGCGAGGCTTAAGAAACAAAAAATGTTTTGAGTATAATAAAATCAAGGGCGCTAGGGCACAAATTGGTGGTATTTTTGCCTTTAGACTCCGTTAATCTTGGTGGGTTTTTTTACTCGTTAAAAACTGTTTAAACTGTTATTTATCTGTTCTGTTATGTGCTGGCTTGATTTTTTCAGTTTTCCCGTCTATATACGCTAAAAATACTGCTGTGACCAACGGTTCAATCGTACGATAACGAACTACTGTATCCTATACCTGCCTCGTGACCGCGTACGTAAGCGTACGTGTCGGTTATTTTACGCTTACGTAAGCGGGCACGAGGCAGGTATAGGACACAGTAGTTCGTTTATTTTTGGCGTATATAGACGGGAAAACAGAAAAAATCAAGCCAGCACATAACAGAACAGATAGATAGCAGTTTAAACAGTTTCTAACGGCTAAAAAAAAACACCAATCTATCGGAGTCTAACGCCTAAACAACCATCAATATTTGTCCTAGCACCCTTAATAAAATAATACGCCTTTCCATGGTTACGATTCTTTGTTTCGTACAACTATAAACATCTGATAGGTCAACCCAGTCACGTCAAGCAATATCCATCTAAACAAGACAAAAAAAAAACACAAAAAAAAAACCACAAAAAAATAAAAAAAACCCTTACAGGAGATGTCTGGCTCATATAATCCATACTCACAGTCACACACTCCATCACACGTGATAAACCATGTCACATAAGATAATCCAAGCAAGACAGCACAGAGCTACAACAATACTTACAGCAGATGTCCGGCTCGTCTGATCTATCCTTGCAGTCCCGCACTCCATTACACGTGACAGACCATGTTACACAAGATCCATCCAGACAGGAAAACTGGTTTTCATTGCACACGTTACCTGTATCAAAGGTAAATAATTTTTAATTTATGTAAATGATCTGGAAAATATTATATGCCCTTGGCGGGACTCGACTCTGCTTTTCTGGCAATCCAGTCTGATCCACGCAATACAAGGACCAGCCAAGTTGAAAACCAAACCGGGGAATGAACCATATGGCAACTGTAAGGGAACAAGAGCAATATTTTGTCTCAGCAGTTAAAAAGGTTATATTCCATATGAATATTTCAGGTTTTTCTTTATCCCTATATTTTGACAGATAATGCAATTATTATTTATACTAACCACAGCCTGCTTCATCTGAACCATCTGCACATTCCTCTATTCCATTACATAACTTAGTAACTTCTAGACAGTCTCCATCCGGGCATTCATATTGCGATGATTGACATGCGCAATTCCTTTCATCTGACTGATCTACACATGCGTAGTCCCCATCGCATCGTAACTTGGATTTGACGCATTCGCCGTTGTGGCATTGGAATTCATCAGCCTCGCAGACGTGTCCTGGGATAATAAAAACGCATTTTTTCGTGATTTCAGTATGCAGTGGAGGGAGCTCATGAAAGAAGCTCCATATCTTTATTTTTTGTAGCAAAATTAGAAAGAATAGTGGCAAATACTTAAATTAAAATCAAGGGGAAGCAAGCATGTTTTAAATTCTTGTTATAGATATTTTTGCTGGTATTGTATTATGAATGATGTTGTTTTCCTTCTAAATCTAAAAAAATGAGATCTCACTCCAGGGCCCTATAGGGTGGACGGCGGAAAGGCTACAGGTTTTACAATCGACTTGATAAGGCAATCGATAAATTGAATAGGCTATTTTTATCAAACAGTCGCTTGCTAATGTGCCATATTGAAAATTGAAAAAAAAATCATTTCAACCACTCGTTTCTGCTGGGTGGCAAAAAACTAAATTCGAAGGTATCTCATAAGAGAGAAGAAAGTATTTCGGAAAACGTTTTGGATATCACATAGAGTAATCCATCCATCAAATGTTCTTCTTTTAATGAAGAAAGTCCATTTCTGTCATCCATTGGCAGTCACGTCATGTTGTCCTGCAAATGGCCTATTAGTATTTAGATGTTGGTTTTTGAGGAGAAAGGAAAAACAAGCTCGATTACGTCTGAGAAAAAGGATGGAGTACCAGGAAGAACTACTACGCCCTCACCTGGTGTAGCATGCTTCGGTGTTAAAGAACATTTTATTGTCGAGAGACGAATGTCAGACACGGCAACACTGCTGTTGGTGTCTGTGTTTCCTCGCATCTGAATCTGATGAATAAAATCAAAGCATTATATAGAGCAGCATATCATACAATCTTAGCGTACTAAATTTACTTCTATTAATTAGTATTTGTTACTAATATGTTTCACACTTGTAGAACCGTTTCATCCCTTGAGATCGGCCCAAAGTTAGGTCGGCATTTCAGCATTGTGGAAAAGATAACGTTACAATGACTTCACCCCAGAGGCTCAGATGTTCAGACTTACAGAATCTTTTAATAACGTAGTATTATTTGCCTGGCTGATTAAGTAGGCAGGCCACGGTATTGTTGCTTCTTTCCACTGGGAGCCCTGCATTCCTCTTAAATGCCACAAAACTGTCTGATTATAAGGTGTATAAACGATGACCTCCAACCGGGAAGATTCGTGATTATTTCGATAGCTGAACTCAAGACAAAGTCCTATAGACCGATAGATTAGCTGGGGCTGAACAAGGGGACTTTGTAACAACGCGGTAGTGTTGGCTTCAGCTTGCAGGTGCAGCCCTATGAGACGAATGAAAAAAGAAGCAGGCTATTATACAGATATTTTTTTATTACATAGAGATTATTCCTCTACTAGCTGTGTATTACAACTGGATGTTTTTGCGAGTGAAAGCGGCCGTATTCCCTCAAGTCCGGTAGGCGCGAGAAAAATACACCTTTACGAGTAAAATTACCCGAGTATAATACAAAACTAGTAGTGTAATAAATTTTTCTATTGTGTGATATACCAAAAAAAAAGAAAAATAGAAAGAGTGCCTGAAAAGCAACTATTTTTATTGTTGAAGATATAGAAATATAGATAAGTTATAGTGCTTGGAAACGAGGTTAATTCATTTCATAAGTGCTATGCGGTCCACATATTCTTATCTTTGCATCACAATTACCGCTACATAACATCTATTTCACCCCGGCCTGCTCTCAGTCTGACCTCTAGCTTAGCTGGTAGAGCATCGGTAGTACAATTCCGAAGGTCGTGGGTTCGATTCCCAGCGAGGTCGGAGATTAATTTTTCCGAATTTAATTCCAAGGGCTTTCGCTCGGAATAACCTCGTTCCCAAGCACTATAACTTATCTATATTCTATATCTTCATGTATTTCATAAGTGCTATGCGGTCCACATATTCTTATTTTTATGGTTAACAAGCAAACTTAAAAGTCACGAGCTCAAACAACTGACGGCAGCCGCACAAAGGAATAGGAGAAAATTTCAACGCGCTGACATCAGCAAAAAAACCGTTCAAAACCGGTTCACAGACTGTGTATTATCGCTCTCTAATTGCACTCGTATGAGTATGTCGTATAATGAGTAGTAGCAATGCTGGGTGGTTGAGACAAAGGACAAAACAGACGGCGCATATGCTAAGTGATAAAACTTGCTATCGCAGACCGATGACGGATCTTTTCATAAAATTACTAGCTACTAGTTTTACCTTTGTTATTTGCAGTTTTTTCAACAACCCATCCCATGTGTCCACCATCGCCTTTAATTCTCCATGAACATGACTCATCTTGGTAGAAACAGCTATGGAGAACACGAGCTTTGGGGCAAAAAAATACATATATTTTTATATTATGTGTTTGGTTTGATTATCAGGATCATCCAGATCATGAATTTCGACCAGTGCGACTTGTGTGGCAAACAGGGAATGCCTTGTCTCTTTGCCACATGACTGTATGGGTCGGTGTCACCTCACCAAATGCGTATCTTCAACTTATACCTTATATGTGTCACGAGACACATATCTTGGTGCTTGCATCTTATCTCATTTTCACGTTGCATACGTGAGGTTTGACTCAAAATAGTGTTTTCCTTAATGATGTGTTCCTACCTTTGATTTCAAGATCTCTAATAGTGTGACTGTTGACGCTGGTGTTGGATGTAGACTCTAAAACCTAGACCAGGATCAAATACATAATATTTAAGATTAAAACTCTCGTAAAGCACATTTCCTTCAACCCTGGAATGCAAGATGATTCGAATACCTCGAAACGAAAACCGCCATTGGATTCAAATAAATCTAAAACGTTGCTTAACGCACCAGTAGAACACTCTTTAGTGTCGTCCCCTTTATCGTGGGACAGGCCTGATGGCAAGTCCAAATGATCAATATATGATTTATTGCTATCCGTCAAATATATTTAAGCCGAGCCAATCAGAATCCTTCTTTCGTCCACAAACGAGTTCTTCAAAATAACAAGACCTGCTGGCAAGCGTTTCCTTCTTTCCCCTCCCCCTACCCCCACGTTCCCTTTGTTTCGATAGGTCCAATCTTTCTGGCAAGCACGTAGTCGAACCATGAACCCCAAAACCCCGATTCTTCCTCAAACCCATCACGAGAACGCTTACTCTGCAGGCTACAAACGTATGGACGTTTAAATCAATAGGACACCATTGGACCGTGCAAAGGGCTATTAACAAGAAGATGTTGCACAAACAACGAGGAAACCAGCCTGAGCAAGATGGTTTAAGGACCCGCGAAATGTCAAAAACCTCAATACTAAAAAACGCTGTAGAATCCCTAGTAACCAGTGTTGTATGTGTAATTTATGGCACACAATGAAGTGAAATCATGGCTTATCCAAACCAAATACTCCCACAAGCAGGCACCATCTTGGCACTGCGTTACTTTATTTTTTGAGTCATAATGAGTGCATAATCGTCAAGTACCTTAATGTCATATTTCCCGGGATGATTTTCAATGACAAAGCTTGCTGTATAGTTGTACCACTGGCATGTGGTTGACAGGGAAGAGTTAACCATGAATGTATAACCTAGTAATTGAAGCCTGACTGATTTTGAACATGATGCGGGGCAGTAGATACCATGGCAACAGAGGCGATATGACACTGAAATGAAGAAAAGATGAGTTTACAAAAAAGCCTGCAAAACTTTGCCAGGCTATCAAGTACAAATTTAACTACAAGAGTGATTCCTCTTCACGTGGGGAAAGAGTGGTCATAGTAATACAAAGTAGTGGACAATATTTCCATTTTTTACTTTTGGCTGTTATAGTCACAAAAAGCATTTTTGTGCGGTTATTAAAATAATGCAAAGCTTCATGGGATAGAAATGCGAACGAGCATTGCAAATAAGGCATCGGTTACATGGAAAATAAGAAGAATATCAGTTGAAAAGCCATAGTTTTTCCATGTTATGGAAACAATAAAATGAAAAAACATTGTTGCAACATATTAGCATGTGAACTGGGCTTTCCTTGCTCGCTTTTCATTTCCATGATGAAAATGTTGACATCATTTGTGAAAAATGCTATTAAAGGAAACTTTGTTTCAATAGCCAAATAAAATTCTTCTGCTCGTTGACAGTGTTTGTTTCTTTTTATTTAGTTTTCCTGTCTAATACTATCTTGATAGTTTCTTTTTAGTGGCATACTTGAGATATTCATTGTCTGACCCACGACTACCGAACGTTGTTTCATTGGCGGTTCAAGAATTGTAGTGTTTAGCATCTGGAGACCTGAATAAAATGAAAAGAAAAAAATAGATACTTTAATAATATAATATACTCCACTTCATTCAACTCCACTCCACTCCACTTCAAACCAAGCGTGGCGTGGCGTGGCGTGGCGTGGCGTGGCGTGGCCCACCGCACCGCACCGCACCGCACCGCACCGCACCGCACCGCACCGCACCGCACCGCCACGCCACGCCACGCCATCCCTTCTAGTTCTCGTCGACCGCTTTTTCTATTTCTTTTCCTCACAATTAAGATAATAAAATAAATACCTGGAAGAATCCAAAACATACTGGGAAGGCTCAAGGGTCTGTTGTTTACTCCATTGGGAGTTTTCCAGCCAACACCAATGTAACCCATTCCGAATAGCTCACTTTTGACGGCCGTTTCTAACATGTACATGTGGCATGAGTCGAGGTCCTTGTTATGCGTTTGAAAAGAGTATCTTGTAGAGAATAAACATGAAATGCATATCATGGATTTACTTTTTTTTTTAAATTTTTTAAACTTAAAGTAATATAAGATGAAGTGGAAAAAGGGAAGCGACGTCCCGTAATCAGAGTCGGCAACTTGGGATCGATTTGTTTTAGTACTTATAACATTCCCCTTATCCCAAGCAGCTCAACTCGCTCACTCGTTTTATTTTGCCGAATTGAATTTGGTAAACATGACAGCTTCGTGCAATGTTTTCCCACTTCGAATCACTATTTGAACAATGAAATGATACTCTAGAGAATGACACTTGGTCTGAACTGGGAAAATATTAAACCCACGGTAAAGAGGCTTACTGAATCTGTTGTGTATGAAGTTGTGTGTGTCAAACAAATCTTACTTGGACCACCGTCCATAGCCAGTATATCGAGTCACAAATATAAGTTGTAAAAGTTCTTGCTTCTTGTACTCCAAATCTTCGACAAAGAAAACGTCGGATAAGCTCTTTAGATTTTTCATCCACACCTTACATTGATCGCCGCACGTGGCATAAAATATGTATCTTCCGTCATCTGGGGCCTGTTCAGAAGTAATTCGGAGCAAAATATTATCATACTGTTATTGATTCGGTCCAATCAGTGAGCCTTCGCTCAAAGTCAGCATTAATAAAAGTAAAATTCTTTTAAAATTATTATTAAAGACCATGGAAAACCATTTAGCTTTTTTTTTCTTCGAATATACAAAAAGTCATGATACTCTTGTGACACAAGATATACTATATATTAATAAAAACAATAATATATATTCAGGCACTGCTTAAAAGCGGAGCTCCCAATACGAAACTCACAGGTAGCCAAATTTGAAAAATTAAAGATAACTACAGACAATCCAATAAAAGGTCAAGTTTATTGAAATTTAACTTGGATGTCTTTCTAAAAAATACAAATTTCGGAGATTTCCTGAACTTATTACATGGACAAATGAACACGGCATATAAAGACAGACTAGAAAACTGCTTGAAAAGGTGAGCAAAACATAATAAGCTTATTACTTTTATTTCTCTTACAAACCAATGTTTGTTTATCCATATTAAGAGCTTAGGTCTTTATAAGAACCGTATTTTCACCGCAATGAAATTAAGAAAATAATTGATTTGGTAGCATCAGAGAGAAAATTGAATGGAGGTCATAATTAACTAAACTTGTAAAATGAAGGCACTGAAATATCTTGAAACCAAATGTGTTATCAGTTAAAAAATGGTATTCAGATCCTAATTATTCATCAAAATATTTTTATTCCTTTAATAGAAGCATAAACTACTTTTCGATAAGCTTGAAAACTTAGCCCTAAATACTAGATTTTGAGATTTAATTTTAATTCTTTTGTTTTGTTTTTTTTCATCTGTTTTCATGCGCGAGAAGTTATATGGAAATCACAAACGACAGAAAAGTTTTCGAAAAACAAAGTTTACATTCAGTTAAGTTTCTTTGTCAGTAAATTGGCATTTGTAGATGTTTTTGAATATTTTTAGCTTATATTTGGTACAATTTCATATCTCATTCAATATTTAAATAAATTATCGATAGAAAGATATAAAATTATTGAATGAAAGTCTTCTTTTGTTTGCCAATGGGACCCCGCGATAGGATTCAAGCAAAGCTTCATTCTTCTTGAACGAAAAACATATACGATAGTTGGTTAAAAACAACCGAATTGTTAAAGATTTACAAAGCTAAATAAAGGACGAATATTTGTATATGTAATAATATGATTTCGAGTTCAATTAGTGATTAATTTGGACGAGTTAGTTTTTCAAAGAGTTGGTAATTGCATGAGCCCAAAAATCAGGACAACACTTAGTCGTTCAAGTTCACGCGCGTAATCAACGTGATGTCTTTATTGCTTATTGGTTCTGACAAATGAATTAAAAATAGCACAAAAATTGTGCAAATTTTCCGAAAAAATCAACGAGAAATGTTTTGTTGCATTTGTGTTAGAATGTTGCTTTGTCAGGCTTTTTTATAGAAAATACATGGGAAATAAGCAAATGAAGGCCCAAACCTCTTTTTCTAATAAACTTTTTGCTTTGGGTTAACACTTTGATTCCACTTTCATCGGTCATCTCCACTTCCAAACAACCTAAACTTTCTGAATAACAAGATTTTAGCCTTGTACAACGGCATTTCTTCAAGAAAATAGTTTTTGGCTCTCACTGCTTGAATACGAAAAGAATTCTCTCTTAATAACATACATGAAAAAACTTATAAAAAAAAATAAATAAAAAAAGAGAGAGAGAGAGAGAGAGAGAGAGACGTAAATATGTGAAATATTAAATGCATAAGCTTAATATTTTATGAAATTTGTTCGTTCAAAACCAACTATATTCAAAGCGATTTTGGTTTCAAATACATGTAATTCAAATATTTTCTAACTATTTTAAGCGAAAAATTGGCTATATGTTTGTTGTAAAAAGCTTTTTTACTGCAGTAAATCTGAATCACTATGAATTCATGAATAAATTTGGATTGGCTGACTTTGCAGCTAACTGGAGTTGTAAGACTTATATCGAAAAACATTATGCATGACAGTTTTCGAAAGTGTTCAGAAATATTTGAGGCTCAGCTTGGGATCTATAGACCAAAATATTGTGTAAGCTCTTACCACATCGTGTTTAATTATCTTGCTATTATCTTTTTCATTTCTGTTTTAGTTTTTGTTTTATTTCGGCAAAGAATCGCTCGAGTATTATCTTTAGATCGGCTGGCTCATTTCCCTCAATTCATGTCATACTTTGTTTTCTTCTCACTATTTCCTCCATATATTCAGCAATATCGATTTAATTTTACTTATGTTTTCTTCTTTGAACTGTTTTTTAGTTGTGTGATAGTAAAATCCGTAAAATCTTTGCTTACTTTCACCTAAGATAAAATGGCTGCCATAACCCCCCCCCCCCCCCTCTCGATTTGCTTCAAATTTTCCTTGAATTTTTCGTCATAAAAATCTGCTATATTATTGGCAGAAATCATTTTCTATTGTTTATTATCCAATCAAGAGCGAGGATTCCGTTTGTAATTATCATAATTTTTTTTGCACTGAATTACCTTTTTTGCATTGTTTTTCAACCAATCAGCATCAAGTAATTTTTGCACTTATATTATTAGCTGTAATATTTGCACTCTGGATTATATTTCATCCAGCATTAAAATAAATTAAGCTTATCAATAGAAATATTAAAACTTCCGAAAGAAATTCTTTGATTTGTCGATAGAAATTATTGTCATAGAAAATAATAATATACGATTGTTTGCTAAAAAACACACGCCTGACTTCTTGCAGAAAACTTCTTGATCCATCTTTGACTACATGGAAGTTGTTTTCATTTGTTGTTGTTCTATAACTTGTCGTGAAGCTATTTTCTCGGTACATTTGAGTGCCGCATTTGCCAGTAGTTTCGCTTTGACATCAAGCTGCATTCCTATGTTGTGTACACGGACGTACGGACGGAAGTGACGTAGTAGTCAAGCCATGAAAAATTAACTCGTTGGTTTACCAAGTATGGTGCTGCGCTCGCGCGGGAGCTCCGCTATGAAAGAATTAGCGCTGATTTTCAATTACTGACTTTGCGTTTTTGCATTTTGTAAATATTGGTTTCATTTGCCAGGCAAGGTGATTGAAAAACAAATAAATTTGCCTATAATCAGTTTGCATTTGTACGAAGAGATTTAGTTTTAGCTGAATCCTAAATATTTTATTACTTGAGCATCTGACCTGTATAAAAGAAGTAAGCCGCTGACCATAATCATAAAAAACAAAAAAATTATTGTCGAAGAATTCATAGTGCGTTTCGCTGATATCTGGAGAGTCGTATCTTTTGGGGCTTTTAATGAAGGTCGACAACTGGTCGCTGTAACTAATGCTATGCCAAGCTTCCGCTTTTACTCCTTGAAGATGTTCAAGAGAATCTATAAGTAAAAGTTAAATATTAAATTAGAAATAAAAAAGACGAATGCCGGCTTTTCTTTTATTATGTTCTGTATTAAGGTAGTACCGGATCTTCAAAATTCTTCTATGAATTTTTTTTTTTAAATTCTGTCATTTGATGTTCATTGTTAGGGTATTCAGATTATGAAAAAAGAGAAGGGGGTCACCATATTGGTTATCGAGATATAAGGCTTCAAAAAGGAGGGATTTTTCAGTTTTCCGCGCGTTTTTGCCGAAAATCTGCCTCCTCTAATAAATTCCAATTATTCAAATCGATTTAACAAAGAAAAACAGAAAACTGTTTTAAACTATTAGTGTTGAGTCTAGAAAACATATCTAGATTTAAAAAATCCATCCAATCTTTTGCAAGTAGTGTAAAAAGTTAATCCTAGAAGCGAAATTGCTTGTAATTCGGCGCAGTTATGTGCGCGTGTAGTTGCAAAAATGTTGAAACTTCATGACAATTTCAACTATGAATTTTTTTCTTTCCGCACTAAATCCAAAGAATATGATATCTAGCTCCGAATGAAAAGGGAAAAAAAGGGGTCACCGTACTAATAGACGAGCTATGAGCGACTAAATCCAAGTTTTTGGTCAAAAATCACAAATCCTGTCCGCGGGGGACTGGGTTCTAGTACATTAACCTCCGTCTGAAACATGTCAAATCGTCTTTGTAATCTCCACAGAATCTAAGACGTATTTCGAATTGATTTTGAGAATAACATGTCAAATTCATTTTTTGTTACTTCATTTTTACAACGTTATGAATTTGTTGTTTTGAATCAAAAGAGTGATCAAGTCAGGTAATGAAAATCTAAGCATGTTTCGAAAACATTTCATTTTTGCCTCAAAAGTTCCATAAATTATCGAAATAATTTGTTAAGTTATAGAAAAGGATTCAACTTCTGACATTATGTATATCAATTTTCAAAACAGCGCAAATAAAGGGTAAAAAACAAGATGCGCGAAATGGAAAGGTCCGGAACTACCTTAAATCAAGGATAAAGCAGGGTGACGAAAATCTAAAAGGTGTTAAAAGAAGTACGGGCAGTGGACGAGCTGTTTTCGCATTATATCTTTATTTTTAGTTTGTTGAAGGGAAAGGCACGTTTTTTATTGGGGGGATTTCAGCGTTGGGGGATTCGCAGTAAAGTTCTTTAATAATTATTGTAGCCCTCCCCCTTTCACTCACTTTCTTTCACTTTCCTGTAGAGTCAAACCGTTGCAATAGAGACATTCAATAAAACAGTACCTTTCCAAAACAAGTGCTCTTTTACTCAACGAAGCATGGAAAAAGCTGTCTTATCATAAAGATAAAGAAATAAGGGCTTGGTAAGGTTTCTTTCAAATTAATGAGAAATAATTACTTGCTACTAAAGACTCGGTTTTATGTTTTGCTTTTTAAATCTTACCTACAGCGTTTACAATAACTTCACATAGTGATAGCTGAATCTGTTTTCCATGATTTTCTATGCGAACTTTATGAGCACGTAAAGGAGGCTGACACAAGAAAACACGTGAGGTTTTCTTTGCACGTTGGTCAGTAGTCTTGCATGAGACTTGAATATTCAAGTCATAAATTCTGACTGTTATGTTAGGCAAATGGTCGCCATATGAACAGTTCTGTCGTGTGGTGACGTAGACTTTATAGATGAATTGTGAACCACAAAGCTTCATTTCCAGCCAGGGATTGTCTTGCTGAAAATGATCATTAAATCAACCAAAGTTTTTTTTTTAATTTTTTATTATCATTATTCCTTAATTGCTTGCTTGATTCCATCCCTCCTTCTTTCCTCCCTTCCTTTTATCCTTCACACACTCATATGTTTATTCAACAACCACTTCTTTTTCTTTCTTCCTCCATTTCTTTCTCCTTGGCACCCTGCATCTCCTTGATTGTTAACCGCGTAAGATACCAGCATATTACACTCAATAAATAGCTCTTAGCTACTCGCTTGGGCCATAAGGCAGTAGAAAAAACTCGGTTCATAACTTACGGTGCGGACCGAACAAACGAGGTTAATCTAAGATATTTTTTATATACGGCAAGGAATTGAGATTAAAAAGAGTCGAAGCAAGAAAAAGTAAAGTTTACAGCGCATGTGAAATGACAACTACATTGGAAAGGCTTCCTATACGTGCCACAAGTCATGTAGTGTTTGAGTCGTTCAGAAAGAGGTCTAGAAGTTTAGTTTACTTTGAATGAATTTAGTTATAGTTTAAATTTTTCTGAAATACTAGTTAACAAAAGTGAGGCTTTCTTTTGCAAAACATGTAAATGCAAAGCAAAAAAGGCATATCAAAAGAAGACTTCAAGATCTCAGCATGAGTTGAGAGAAAAAAGCTGTCGTACTTCAAACTTCAAACTTTTAGACTTTTAGACTTTCCTGCCTTTTATTGGGAGAAAAACTTAAAATCTATCCAGAAATGAATGAGAAGCTTCGAAAAATTACGGCTCGCTGAACATGGATAGTTTTTCGTCACTTTTCAACGTTTCGACTGTTTGAACCAGGCCGCCATATGCACATTGGCTGAAGTCATGAAGACGGCAAACATTCGACTCAATTAAAAAAGGTACTGCCAATTCTCTTGTCCACAAATGCATTAAAATTCAAATGTGGATAAAGTATTACCGAAATATGGAAATACTTCAACAGCGGATGAGCCTAGAAAACTTCTTAAAACGTTAACAAAACAAACCACTGGCTTCTTCACCCGATCGATTCAGATAAGTTCAAACTTGACGTTGTAACCTTACTGAAATAACAAATTTACGCTTATTCTTCTTGTAAAACTATCTTTATTTCATTTACTGAATTAGCCGCTATTCACCATCCTTTAGTTTGTAGTTTGACCTAGTTTTAGTTTATGTTTTTCTAGGTTTTTTAGTAGTACAAAGTCGCTTAACTATAGTGCTGTTTAGAGCCTTGATCGACAGAGTTGTGGCTAGTATGATAAGTTTTACATTAAATGCCAGTGACTTTCAGTTATCTTTAATAGTTAATTAAGGTTTTCCGACAATTTTTTTTTTTTTAACGAAAATTTGAATGTTTTAAAAGATCATAAGTACGTACACTTAATGAGTGAACCATTTCATTTTCCGGTCCGTACCGTAATTTATGAACCGCAAATTGACCAATCATAGCGCGTGAAATACCTTGTCAAATAATAAGCCTTATTATGTGTTACCTGAAGAGTTTTGGCACATGTCTTGTAATCTCCATCAATAGCGAACGTTGCAGGAAAGCCTGGTACGTGTGAAGACAGTGATACGGTGCTGTTGTGTGCAAGATTCACTGAACAAAAATAGCGAAATGCGTTTCAGCGTTCATGATAGCTGGTAAGCATTTTATTCAATTAACACTATCCAATCTTTATAAAACAGACATTTATATAAAATTCTTTCAGGCTGAGAGCACATGGTGCTCAGTGTTTATGAAGTTTTTTTACGGACAAATTATTGAAAGGGTCTACATCGATACCATATATAATACGACATAAACGACATCAATGTTATACGTTCGTAAATCCATTCCATTGGAATACATGCTTCTATTATTAATTAAGCTAAAACATGAATCATACAACTAAGACGCGGTGGGGAAACGGAAATGACTTGCGGGAACACGGAAGTGACGTCGTTTTACACAGGCTTCTCGCAACCCGGAAAATACTACAAAATGGCGTCAGCTGTTGCAAGAATATGGCTTCCAGATACAGAAAGATTCTTTACGGAACTTGTGATGTTCATAGAAAGAGCACAACAGCTACGAGCTCAACATTTTGTCAATAAAAAACTTCATAGTGTTTGACTTCCATTTGGGGAACCAAAGATATTAAAAAATTGAAAACTTTTATCAGCTGAGCGATTGATATCTGGTAATCGCTAAGGAATTCCGAAATGAATGGATTTGTAAAAGTCAATCAAAAGCGTGCAGTAACTGAAGCTTGACACGAAAGAGCTCTTAGAAAACTGAACCGCAAATAGGGATTGAATATACCAGCATCGAATTCGATGCATACTAGTTTTGAAAGCCATATAATCATTCGTACAGGCTTTAGCCTTTATAAGGCAGCCAAAATACCATTTAAATTCCGTGATTGACTTTATTTATTGGCATTATTTAACTTGCGCAACCTTTACATTTCAGTTGATTTTTGCAAACTATTTACTTTTGAAGGATACTAAACCTGTACGAACGAGTCTTTAGTAATAAAACACGGCCGCGGAATTTACCGAATGAAAAAGGAGAGTATTGTGCTCGCAAGTAATTTCTAAGCAATTATTGTGTATGTGATAAAAGAGTACCCACCAGAAAGTTCGATGGATGCTGCAAACAACTGGGTAACGCTACTTGGTCCAGTACAATAGGTAGTATCATTCTTTAATGATATCATCTGTGGAGCAGACGTTCCTCTGTCTACTACAAAGAAGGGGAACAATCCTCTTCTGCTGGAATTGGACGAGTAGAAGAAATCCCTCGGCTCACATGGAAACGTCTGTCGAGGTATGTATTCTGTTTTGATGATTCTGAGTCCTGAATGGTCTTGGCATATTAAATAGAACTGATCATGATTGTGAATTGGTTCTTGCTGGAAATGGAGGCTATATTGGAGCGACCGTGGACCAGGTGATGGTAGGCCTTGCTGGTCCATGAGACCATGATGATCCACATCAGCATAAGTATACAGTTTTGGGGGAGCTGCAAAAAAGATATCTTGGTTGATTTCTCTGACTAACGCTATTCATGACAAAAAATGAAACAATGAATGTGACCTTAACTCTATTTACAAAAACATGGTGGGTTGGTGGGTTGGTGGGTTGGTGGGTTGGTGGGTTGGTGGGTTGGTGGGTTGGTGGGTTGGTGGGTTGGTGGGTTGACCTTTTACCTTGTTTTGTGCAAACGCCAGGATAAAAAGCAATATCATCGATAGCTATGTCACCTTCATAGCTTTTCCCGCAAACTCCATCTATTTCCACCTGACAAACAAATATAACAAAATGAATGTGCTCTTTTAGTTTCGATCAATTGATAAAAGTCTTTCAATCTCATTATCTGCTCATTTTGGTTGTAAAACACTGACTATCGTGTGCTGTCACACAGAAAGAATTTTATTGAAAACTTACGATTCAGCTGATTCAACATTCTGCACGATATAGAAAAAAGAATTTAAACCCAACAATATTCGACAAATTGTGGATGAGATTGAACATGATATCGTAAATTAAGACCATGACTATGCTATCGGCAGCCGAAGCAATAGGCTGATGCTGATAAAATGGCCGAGGTCTTGATAATTTACGATAGATAGTATGCGAAAAACCAACTTATTAATTGTTTTACTATACATTTTGTAAAATATGAATAAAGATTTCATTCTCCTAACGAAAAAATAGCATACATAATTGCAATCTCCATTTTGACTTGAGTGAGCAGCATAAATGTAATATACATATTTAGGCACTGCCTAAAAGCGGCGCTCCCTTTACGCAAGTCAAAGGGAGCCCAATTTTAATAAATCTGAAACGTTAATCGGGAAAACGATCTTCAATTATTTTTTTATTCGAAATGAAGATTATGTCTTCCAAAACAAAAATAGGTACCCCATGGGTACGTGAGTCTACGGTGCATGAGGTATATGTTTTCATTATCATTATTATTAGATGGTCTTTGAATAAGTAGAGTGACTTACAAAAACTTATGGGGAAAAAGTGTAATAGGAAGGAGAAGACAAAATAGGAAAAAGGCTTACTAATAAAGAGTAATAAGTTTGATGAAGTGTGTTTCAGGGGGTTTATGGGAAGCACTCCGAAATAAAATATATATCCAGTCAACACAAATTAGAAAATGGGAACATTTAGACATTTAGACATTTTTAAAAAATACAACAAAAAATGTACAACATTATTAAGTTTAGGTTTAACACTTTTTATTTTACCAAAACCTTTTTTACCAAAAATTTTACTGCCACAGCAGGGCATTTCTTGAAATAAAAACGCCATTGAAAGCTGTTTTTCACTAAAAGAAAGTGGGTAAAACAAAGTCCGTATTAACGAACGAGTCGGGTCAAGTTCTATCGATTGCTTTTCATAAGTGTTGTGCTTGCTATGAATGCTGGGAAGCCTAACTCACTTCATGTCTCGATGCTCTTATAAGGCTACCGTTGACTCAACAACTACATATTGAAATCGAATTGAAATACACTACATCGTTTTCTTTGCGCGAGTAAACTCTACTACTTACTGACTCTCCTACTTAGGAATTTTGTACACAACTCACAACTCACTTAAGGGACCTTATTAACATTAAGAAAGAGAGTAGATATAGTTTACGTTTAAATAGCAATGGAATATTACTTGAACATGTTAATTTTAAAACATATAAGACATTAAGAGATCGATCATTTATGGTAGCTGTACCTAATTTATGGAAACAGGCTACCTTCGGAGGTCAGGACAGCTTATAGTGAGACTAATTTTAAGAAATTATTGAAAACTTTTTTACTTAATATGGCTTTCGCAGATTTTTTTGTTATCGTTTATGTCGCTAATAATTTTATACCATTTTTTAATTGTATATTTTAATATTAGTATAGTTTTAGTTTTTTATATATTTTTTACATTTATATTAAAGCGCAAAGGAAAATACCCCAATTGAGATTTTTTTTTTTTAAATAATAAATACTTTATTACAACAAAGACGTTTCACTTTACAATATACAGATATACACATAAAGCTATACATAACATTTTCTGTCTCTTTTCCTTATATTTCTTATACACGTTGGTAATTTTTTTCATTATTATTATTTTTTTATTTTTTTAAATTTATTTATTTATTTTTGTTACCGACCTCCTCCCCTACTATTTATATGACATTTGAATGTTTTTGAAGAAGAAAACAGAGAGAGAGGGAAAAAAAAGAAAGTGACATTTTCTATTAAATTTAGATTGTTCTTCTAATTATTATTGTCGTATATAATAGACAATACAAACAAACAAACAAACAAAAAACAAACAACAACAAAAAGAATATATATTATTTTTGCACTGTAAAGACTCAAAAGAGAAATTTATCTTAATCAATCTACACTATTTGAAATATCTTTGCTCAAAAATTTAGAAAAAGGGGACCACTTCTTTTCGAAAGATAGTTTTGCGCATTTTGATTTGGATAAAGCAATTTTTCTTTCTAAATCGAATTTAGCTTTTGCGTGCTTGAGAAAAGTTTGGAAAGTATAACATTCCTCACTTATAAAAGCATAAAACATGTTTTGCTTTGCAATCAAAATTAAATGATTTATCAAAATATTTTTTTGATGTTGTTTAGATAACCATACATTATCAATGCTGTAGTGATCTCAAATTCAGCTGTAGGAGTAATTTCTAGCCACCATGCTTTAAATTTTTTCCAAAAAGATTGAGCTCTTTTACAAAAAATAAAGAAGTGCTTAGAAGTATGTTTTTCACGATCAGTACAAAACGGACAAATATCGTTTTCAGTGACGCCAATTTTAAATAAGTAGTTTTTTAAAGGGAGTATATTGTGAATAATTTTCAACTGAAACATCGAGAGTTTAATTTCCTTTGTTACAATGAAAGGGAGTGAATATACCGTACTTAGTTCGGAAGGGTTGACACCTTCCTGAAGAATCACAGGTTGATTTGTAGGCGGTAAAAAATCCCTGCACACAAAATTCTGTCTTATGGATTTTGCACTCATTTTGGATAAATCGCAATAAGTTTTTTCATATTCGAATTATTCGAATTTGGAGGCCGTGTTTAGAAGCTTCTTAACTGCACTCACTACTCCCTGGTACGTGAGATTTGCACTATACAAATTCAATAAATTATTAAATTATCAACTCACCACCAGCCCCAACCCCTCCCCAAGGGCTAGTTTTTGTCTTGGATAACCTTCGACAAAGTTTTCCATGATCGACATTTTTAAACTTTGAATTCCGATCCTGGTTAAGTTTACTTAAAAAAAAAAAAAAAAAAAGCGAAAGGTAACTACAAATAATCCAATACAATATCAGGTTTAGTGAATTTTACCCTTGGATGTCTTTCATTGAAATCGAAAGTTTGGAGATTTACAAACTTTTTATGGACAAATCAAGACTATGAAACAGACTTGAAAACTGGTTAAAAAAAGGTGTGCAAAACATAAGCTTAGTTTTACCTCATTTACATAACGATGTTTGGKTATCCATATGAAGAGTTTTATGTTTTCACAAGAACCGTGTTTTTACTGCAATAAAATTAAGAAAAACTAGACGGATATCTGCGTGAACTCGGACTTCATAGCAGAAAATCGAAAGAATTCTTCGTGGACATTCTGCTCTTGTTCGTCATATGTTTCAGAGTTTGTACTGGTATTCTACTGGGTTCACGACCACGTCTATATGCACGACGATGCTTATTTGACTCAAGATAAGATAGTTTGATACAGTAGTCATAGCATGGTTCACGATAAAAGGTTCATTATCATTCACGATAAACGGTCGACTCACTCGTAATTCTCGGACCGACCCGTTCCGAAAACGCTCGACACCTTTTAGTGTGGGTCTACCGCGGAACGTTTGTGCTTTTGTATGTGTCTTGAGCGTGTTAGACTCCATATTATTCATTACTTGAAACAGCGACGAGTCCTTCGCCACATCCGACACTACCCAAGCATGTGCTTATGGCTGATTCTACGCATGCGCATAGACTTCGATTTGACGTATGCGCTTTAGGGCTTCGAGGGCGATTTGTGGCTGAATCCCGAAAGCCCGAGTAATAAATGCTTTGGTAGCATCAGAGAGAAAACTAGCTGGAGATCATTAACTGTCTAAACTAGTCAAATGAAGGCCCTTAGCGTTAAAACCAAATGTGTCAGCTAAAAAAAATATTTTCTTATTCTAATTCTTAATTAAGATATTTTCCTCCTTTCATAACTCGCCTTAACTATTTTTCGAGAAGCTCGAAAACTTAAGCTTACTAGATTATGAGATTTGATTTTACCAGTTTTCATCTGTTTTCATGTAAGAAAGATACGAAAATCACAAACAACAAAAGTTTTCGAGAAAAAATTGTTTATTTAGTTAAACTTGACGGGAACAACTGAGACATAAATAAAAATAGAAATAATGCAAAATGCAATACAAAATAGCATTTTTTGTCAGTTAATTAACAAATAAAATACATTTACCGTGTTTGCAGGCACGATAATGCAAACCGAGATGTGAATGGGAGAATTCGAGAGCAGATCAGTGCAAACACGAGCCGTAGGCGAGTGTCAGCGCCTGCTCGAGAAATGTATTTTATTTGTTTTATAAAATTATTTTCTTCAAAAAACAAAATTAACGAAACACGATTGAATAAAACAGAAGAATTTAGTTCAAAGTTTTAATTATAAATTCTCCTTACATACTTGTGCATTTGCAATAACCAATCAGATTGCGAGTTTCATCGACGCCTCCAAACATGAAATTCAAGTCGAATTTTTTTTATTTCAAAGCGAGAAGAAGCCAAACTTTAGCGACTTTCTCCCTTGAGAAAAAGCCTTTTACAAGCAGATCTAGATAGAATAATAATTCCAAAGCTTAACTAATGGTTTTAGTCATTCTAGACTGAAAAGAAAACACTATTTTGAGAGCTAAAACTAGCTAAATTCAAGCTTGATTTCCGTCGGTGTTGTTTAAAGAGTTCGTCGAGATTCTCCGAGTTCAGGCTGGCAAATCTGGATTTTTGTGTTTTTGCTGGAGTCTCGTCTGGTGTTTATACTATTTCAGAAGCTTTTTCAGGTTTACTGGAGTTATGACTATTTGTGTACAAGTACAACTTCCAAACAAAACTCAAATTTTCCCACCAGTGTCGACGCTCGTCACAACCGTGTTTGCAAAGGGAAATGCAAACACGGCTCTCGGCCAATCACAGCACGCTTACTATTTGAATTATCTTATAATTGGCATTTGTAAATGTTTTTGCTTTTCAAAGTGAATGGCAAGCGACCGCTCTTAATGCAATAACATATCTCTCAAAAAAACAAAGTTAAGCTTATTTGTATTAAACTATACTAGCTAGAAAAGCTCAATAAATAGCGAATATTTGGTGTAATTTTATATCTTATCCCATACATAAATCAATTATCTATAGATATGAATGATATGATATATATATATAGAATGAAAGTCTTTTTCTGTTTGCTAATAAAGGGTATATGCCTTGTAATATGCTCTGCTTTTTATAGCGGAGCTCCCGCGCGGGCCTTCGCGGGCTTCAGCACCATACTTAAGAAAAAATGGTAAACCATCGAGTTGATTTTTCATGGCTTGGATGACGTCACTTCCGTCCGTCCGTGTACACAACTCAGGAATCCCGCTTGATGTCAAAGCAAAACTACTCACAAATGCAGCTCTCAAATGCACAGAAAAAATCGCTTTAGGACAAGTTATAGACCAAAAACAATTTTAAAAAATACTTTCATGTAGTCAAAGTTGGATCAAGAAGTATTCTTCAAGAATTCAGGTGTGTGTTTTTAGCAAACAATCGTATATCATATTTTTTGACAAGCCATTTTTCTCGACGAATCGACAAAGTAAAGACTTTCTCTCAAAACTTTTTATATTTCTCTAAATAAGCTTAATTTATTTTAATGCTGGAGGAAATATAACACGGAGAGCATATTACGACAACAAATATTCGTCCTTTATTGTTGTTTTTAACCAACTATCGTATGTTTTTCGTTCAAGAAAAATGCAGCTTTGCTCGCCTCCTATCGCGGGGTCCTATCGGCAAAACAAAGAAGACTTTCATTTAATATTTTTATATCTTTCTATAGATAACTTATTTAATTATTAAATGAAATATAATTTTTTACCAAATATTCAACTGTTTATTAAGCTGTTTGAGAAAGTATGATTATAAAAATGAGCTTAAATTTGTGTTACTGAGAGATGTTATTGTATAAAGACCTAGACTTTCACTTTAAAAAGCTAAAAAACATTCAAAAACATTTGCAAACGCCAATTTACTGACAAAGAAATT